GGGAGCTATTGTATGATAGAATCAAGATCACTCTTTAGAAGTATATGTTATTGAGGCTCCACTAAATCAATATTGTGATATAAACATGTGGATGACTGTGAGGTGTGTGATTGCTGATATTAATGTATGTTAATACAAATGTATTAAAGATGATAATTAAATATGTTTTACATCTTTTTCGGTTTTTCTTTTTCTTTTTTTCTTCTCTTGTGTGCAACTTTGTAAATGTCTTTACTGGTACGATTTTGATAAGGAATTGAGACCATCAGATAGATCTAACCAATTTTATCTTGTCAACTTATTCCTTATTAGGACTTATCAAACTGTCAAACTCCAATTCAGGATTTCTTTAGAAAACTGTGCATCATTCAGAATCAAATCTAACAGCGTCACTCGTAATTATTTTTATTGAATTTGACTTCTCTGACCAAGGACATTCCTGTTTGCAAATATATTTTAGCTTCATCCGAGGAACCTATATTAAATAATCAATGATAATGATTTTACACCTAATGGTTGTTTAAAGGGTAAGTTGGTTTGGGAAAATTACAGCTGGTGTTCCATGACATTGCTCAATTCACAGATCTAAAACAAAACAGCCAGTCATGCGTGACATTGACCAGCCATGCGTAGCATTGATATATTTGTATGAGGTATACAAATCACTGTGTTAATATAAGATCTGATGTGGGTACAGAAATCTGTGCTTAGAGCATTTAAAACAATGTCATACACCAGCCTCTATAAAAAAAATCTTCAACATAATTGTATGGGGCATTTTTGTGTATATTTGTTACTAAAGACGTTAACAGATTTCTGTAAATCACAATCACTCAAAAAGTTTGTATAACATTATGTTGACAATGCTGTTACCTTCAAGTGATGTTGACAGATGCATAAAGCATTTGTACACTTGTGGTGTAACTAAAGTGTCATAGGATTTTAAAAATTGATGTCATCTTGCTAAACTAAAATCTGATACACACTAATCTAGAAATGGCAATACAACTAGGATTTTAGGAGGTCATATTGGTAATATTTTATATGTGGCAACAAATTAGGGGTGTATGATGTCATGAATAACTCAAATTAGCTTCAGCTCACATGTAAGTTAAAAAAATATCTATATACAATTACAGAACTGCAACTTCTGATAAAATAGAAGTATAAGTAATGAAAGATACTTTTGTATGTTGCACAATATCACCTGTGATGATATATAGTAAAAAAAAACGCATATTGATAAATAAAATGTAAACCAGCACAGAACTTATTAGGTTACAAGGTAGTATTGAAACAAACCTTACAATTTTGAATACATACATTACACAAATGTTTCCACTAAAATTTCTTCTATGTGTAGACTAATTATGCCTTAATATTTTATTTGTGTAAATAAATACAATTAAGAATTGTTTTCATAGTCTCAGGAAACATAAATGTATTAAATGCATGTTTATTTGGGAAATAAGTTTTAAAACGATTATGACTGGGAAATAGAAATGTGTAATAATGCAATATTGCCGCCTTATATATAAATAACTGCAGAGACGTCTCTGATAACTGAAAACAGGAACGAGGCTATGTCTGGAAAATAGAAATCAGTATTAATGAAATGTTGCCACCCAATATGTAATTACTGTTTATTTTGTAACATTATCTGCAGGTTGTTATGTCAATAGAACAGAAGTTATCATAATACATGTACTACACTACACTGTCACCGTCATCAGACAAATGACCAGTGTGGAGCGTACAAACACTGACGCACGTAGTGTGCGATATCTACACGGTCACCTTCATCAGACAAATGACCAGTGTGGAGCGTACTAGCACTGACGTACGTCGTGTACGAGATGGTACGGAATCGACCAAGGTTAAAATAGTGTGACGAGATGGTACACAGATTATAGGCTAAAAATACACCAGATGGTAACAATGTACTGTAGACATTTCGGCTACGCTTTGTTTAATACTTGGTCATAGATCCTTAGTGTACATAGGATTATGATGCAGCCGAAAAAGTTGGTCGATTTCATCTCGTACACGACGTACGTCAGTGCTAGTACGCTCCACACTGGTCATTTGTATGATGAAGGTGACCATGTAGATATCGCACACTACGTGCGTCAGTGCCAGTACGCTCACTGGTCATTTGTCTAATGAAGGTGACCATGTAGATCTCGCACACTACATACGTCAGTGTTAGTACTCTCCACACCGGTCATTTGTCTGATGAAGGTGACCGTGTAGATATCGCACACTACATACGTCAGTGCTAGTACGCTCCACACTGCTCATTTGTCTGATGAAAGTGACCAGTGTTGACAACATAAGCAAGTCATATTCTGAAATTGATGAAGATCAAGGCACTTCAGAAAACTGAAAAGAACCTGTATTACCAAATGGTGTTAGCATTAGGTGAAGGAAAAACAGTAAATTGTTCGGTACTGTGTTAAAATTGACAGAGAAAAACTGTTACTGTTCTTCCCATGAGGAATTGAAGATAGATATTTACCAGGATAATTTGAATCATACGAATATCACTATCAACATGTCAGTCGCATTGTGGATGTCGTGTGACCTTAATACGAACATCGTTCTGATGAACTTGATAGTGCTATAGAAAGAACACCAAACTGCAGCAGTAATCTAGCATGTTGAGTCTGAAGATAAACAAGAATGTTCACGTGAGAGCAAACAGTTTATATATTACAAACCTGAAATTGCTGAACTTCAACAATACGATATTGGTGTTGATCTTGGGGTATCACAATCTATGCCCTTCATAGAACATCATCCTTCTCTTTTACTAAATGAAGAATATCTTGCACGTGTGAAAAAGTTACATATGAAGCAGAGAGAATTTTTCTTGCATGATTTACACTAAAAAAAACATAATATGAACCACTAGAGCATTGTATCAAGCATTAAAAGGGCATCTCTGTTCAGAGGAGGTTGAATATCCAGATAACTGTAAAGTTCTTCTTTGTGGTGTTCCAACTGGACAAGCTGCACATAATATTATGATACTACTGTACATTAAAACCACTATGTAGATTCTGACACCCTGAACACCATAAGGGCAAAGTACAGAGATCTCTCCACTGTTATCATAGATTTGGACTCAATGGTTGGAAATAAGATGCTTTCTCTTCAACATAAATGTCTTAAAACAATCAAGGGAAATCAAACATGATTATTTGGAGGTGTCAATATTATACTTATAGGTGGCTTATATCAGTTGAAATCAATATGGACAAGTGGATATTTGCAGATATAGAAGACCACATGGGTCCCACTGTAACCTTTGTTTACTATTCATGAATTAAAGGATGTAAGCGCTAGAGAACGGCAACTATCACAGGACGCTCTCACAATTCTGAAATCAAGAATGACTAAATCTACCGATGTACCTTATCCAGGAGAAGCACCGCATCTATTCAACACTGGCAAACACGTTGATGATTTCAACAGTGGCATATTTGATCTTACTTAAGTTACAAACTCAAAGTGCCTGCACTTGATAAGGTTGTTTGAAATATCCCTGCGGATGTTAAAGCCAATGCAGGCCCAAGAAAATGTCTGCGGGACGAATTGATGGACTTGTAAATGATGTCCCAATTACTTTTGGTATGCCATATGAAATCGTTGCTAACTTAAACATATCTGATGGACCTGTGAATGGTGCGTGTTGTCAGGTACGAAACATTGACTAAAACATGGACCATCCCAGCATAATATGGGTCTGATTTGAAAATGACTCTACAGAAGTAGATACAAGAGCAACTGTAACAAGGCCTTCAGTTCAGAATGTAATTATGTATGTATATAAGTTTTTAAGTTACCGCCATTCGTTAACTTCAAATAACGCACCTGCGTGCGTGAGCAGCCGAGATTTAACCAGAGGCGGACATATTTGACAATAGCGGGTGCATGTTTACTTACAAGAACGCAAAGACTGCTTACGGTGAGTTTCTACTCATATATAAGATATTTTATGTTGTACCTTTCTTTATTGTAACCGTAACTAAGCTGCACACACTGTAAATATCAAATTGTGCCTTGTAATGCGTCCTATATGAGGCGTACAGGTGTGTTATTGTTTACGTACAGGTGTGACATTGTTTACGTTCAGGTGTGCTCCTGTTTACAACTGTTGATAAATAGTTATTTTATAACCAATTGATTATAATAAGTAATCTGGATTTAGTACATCGTAGATTATGGAATTTAGAGCATTCGTTTGTGAAATTCACGTGTATATATATTTCACCCCGCTGGAAGGTTTAAATATTAAGGTTGCTTGACCGGTGTTTTTGTGGAAATATTTTCCATGTAAATTCCCCTCTCATCACTACTTTAGTGGTTATGCTCATGAACCCCACTGTTGGGAGCTGCATTATTCTTTGTGGATGTAGTTTCACTGCTATTGGTGGATCGTGGAACTGATGACGTCATTATGTGACATTGTAACTTTTCCTTTGTGGAAGTGTCTATGCTTTGGATCCTTTGTGGATGAACTGAAACTCATGAGTGTGTGGACCTGTGTGGATACATAAGTGGACTGTACCTGTGGGACTATCGGAACTAAGACAGAGTCGGGAAGGTCCAACGAACTGTTGTAGATATAGTGTATAGTCTAGTGTAGATACTTGTAAAATTGTGGTATTATGTGCATAATGGAAATAGATATTGTACAAAGTGTATAGCGGTGTTCGTCTCTTTTCTTGTTTGTATGGCAATATACTCGTCCCGTTACAACTTGGTGGCAGCGGTGGGATGCCAATATTGCAATATACATTCATGAAATGAGACTTTATTATGAGGAAATGACAGTCCTGTAATTCAGCTGATTTCTTTGTTTTAATATTTGGTGTAATCAGGTATCTAACTTGCTTTACAAAAGCTAAAGATTTTGTCTTCAACCACAACCAAGCAATAATTATCACACATTTTGGTCGATTATCTATGATACACATATTTTTAGTGATTCAAATATGTCAGGCATTCAGGACTTAATGATCTTAGGCAAAGATGCAGGTCTGGCAGGTCAGGATCTCCTTGATTTTGTGAGTCGTATCCAGGCTGAAGAGCGGGAGGAGAGACGTAGGCTGCGAGAGGAGGAACAAGCGAGCAGAGATCATGAGCTGCGGAAGTTAGAGCAAGAGAAAGAACTGATTCATGCAAAACGAGCAGCTGCGGAGAAGGAGGCCCAGTTACGCTTCGAACTAGAAAAGGAAAGTGAAGCTAAGGCCTTAAGAGAACATGCCAGGAGACGGGAAATTATGGAAATGGAACAGAAAGAACCAGCGAAGGTGAAAGTAGAGCATGGACTACACCTTTCCAAGCGTGGACCGAAGCTACCGCCTTTTGATGAAGCGACTGACAGTGTAGACTCCTATCTACAGCGTTTTGAGCGTTATGCGACTACTCAACAGTGGAGTAAAGAACACGAGTGGGCTGCAAACCTCAGCGTGTTACTTAAAGGACGAGCTTTGGATGTATTTTCTCGCCTACCCATAGAGGAATTCATGAGGTATGACATCTTGAAATCAGCTCTACTAAGAAGATTCGAGATGACTGAAGACGGCTTCAGGAAACGCTTCAGAAGCGGAAGGCCGGAAGCAGGAGAAACGTGTTCACAATTTGGTGTAAGGCTAGAGAGCTACTTTGTCAAATGGTTAGACATGTCAGGAACGGAGAAGACGTTCAACCATCTGAAAGATTTAATGGTTCGTGATCAGTTTCTGCAGTCGTGTGGAAGTGACCTGATGCTATTTCTTAAGGAACGTGCTCCGACGTCGTTGGCCAGTATGACAAAGCTTGCGGATCAATATGCCGAAGCTAGAGGTAATCCGCCGAACTTAATGAAGCAGAGGAACCAAGGAGGGAAGAATTCTGAGAGCCATCAGAATAAGGGGTCCTCAGATTCATCTAGAATCTCGTCAGGGAAAACGGCGCATGACGATACGAAACATAAGTATTCTAGCAGACAGTGCTACAACTGTAAGAGTACAGATCATTTGATGAACAATTGTCCACATCCTCGAAAGAAGTCGGGAAATACGGCGGCGGCTGTCTCAGACGAATAGAATGGCACCTCTACAAAGATCTCGAAACAACATACCAAGGATAAGTTTAGGAATAAGGGAAACAAGGAAAGGAAAGTATCAGACGATGACAGCTCTTGTTCTAGTTTACTATCAAGTGAAGACGAGTCTGATGATTCCAGTAAAATTGGTAACTTGAGTCTTTCCTGTGGTGAACCTAAGAAGAGGATGCCAACAGTTGATGGATTGGTCGGAAGAACGCGTGTAACTGTACTAAGGGACTCTGGGAGTGACATTGTGGTTTTGAAGAGATCATTAGCGTCTGATGAGCAAATGACTGGAAACATGAAGTCGTGTACAACGGTCGATGGTAGAACTTTGCGTTTACCTACAGCTTTAGTCATTGTGGATACTCCATATTATGTTGGACAGGTGGAGGCGACATTGATGGACACGCCAGTGTATGACCTTATCATTGGGAACATTGACGGTGTAAGACCTCCGGATAATCCAGATGGGGAATGGAAGTGTGCTGGAGTGACCAATGCAGTAGAAACTAGAGCTCAGAAGCAATTGCATCAACGACCATATCGGCAATTAAAAGTTCCTAAAGCGCTGGAAGATGCTCAGCCATCAGATTTGATAGACGCACAACAAAGTGATATAGATTTATCCAGTATCAGAGAGATGGTCAAACAAGGCGACGTAAAGGAGAGACGAGATGGTGGGAGATCAAGGTTCTATACATACCGTGGTTTGATCTATCGTGAATATCGGAGCCCAGGAGTAGAGAATGGAAGGACGTTCAAGCAATTGATAGTGCCAAAGAAGTATCGAGAAACAGTCCTTCGTTTAGCACATGATTCGATGATGTCGGGTCATCTTGGGGCTAAGTGAACTGGAGAACGACTCTTGATGGAATTTTACTGGCCCGGTGTCAACGCAGATGTCACAAGGTATTGCAGGTCCTGCGATGCGTGCCAACGAACATTTCCGAAGGGTCATGTTGCGAAAGTACCTCTTGGAACAATGCCATTGATAGATGTGCCATTTCAGAGAGTTGCAATTGATATTGTAGGAACTCTCCAACCACCTACGGATCGTGGAAATCGATATATCCTAACCATCGTCGATTATGCCACTAGATATCCAGAGGCTGTTGCACTCAGAGGAATAGAAACGGAACGCGTTGCGGAAGCTCTTGTTGACGTCTACAGTAGAGTTGGTATTCTTAGAGAAGTATTGACTGACCAGTGCAGTCAATTTACTTCAGATGTGATGAGAGAAGTAAGTCGGCTCCTCTCGATACGCCAGCTCACGACCAAACCTTACCATCCCATGTGCAATGGTCTTTTTGGAAAAGTTCAATGGGACACTAAAATAGATGCTCAAACGGATGTGTACAGAACGACCGAAAGATTGGGATAAATACATAAACGCCCTGTTGTTCGCAAATCGTGAGTTTCGTCAATAGAGTTTAGGTTTTTCCCCTTTTGAGCTCCTATATGGAAGAACAGTTCGTGGTCCAATGAGGATCCTCCGGGAGCTGTGGAAAAAAAATTCAGGATCCAGACGTCAAGACGACGTATCAATACGTGATCGATCTCAAAGAACGGATGGAGGAAACATGCAAGCTTGCTCAGGAGCAATTGAAATCGGCGAAACGCCGACAAGCCAAGTACTACAATAAGAAGGCTCGTAACCGTGTCATGGAAGCGGGACAGAAAGTTCTTGTTTTACTGCCAACGAAAAGGAATAAATTGCTCATGCAGTGGCGCGGACCTTACAACATCGAGGAGAGAAGGATCAATGGATTATGTCGTCAACATCGATGGGAAAAGCAAAACACTTCATGCCAATCTTCTTAGACGATATGTGGAGCGTGAAAGCACCTCAAGTGCACTTATGGAGACAGAAGCTGGAGTCCTATCAATTGTTTGCGCGACTGTCGTAGAGGAAGAGGCAGAAAGGGACTTTGAAGGTGACATGTGTACCTCGAGGATTGAAACAGTTCCGAACATGGTTAGAACTGAGTCTGTCCGTGATGTGGCCGTTTCCGAAATGCTCGACGAAAATCAGGAACAGGAAATCAACGACTTACTGAAGGGGTTCAGTGATGTCCTAACACCCTACTCTGCCCCTGTCGTCATCGTAAGAAAGAAAGACTGTAGCAACAGATTCTGCATCGACTATCGACAAATCAACCGGATAACTGTATTTGATTCGGAACCGATGCCTAATATTGATGATATCTTTTCTAGACTTGCTTGACATCAGCTGTTCTCCCGACTTGACCTCAGCAAAGGGTATTGACAGGTGCCGATGGAAGCGTCGTCAAAACAGACAGCCTTTACAACTCCTGTCGGGATATTCCAGTTGACAGTGATGCCCTTTGGTCTGGTCAACGCCCCTGCCACATTTTGTCGATTGATGAGAATACTTCTCAAGGGCATGTCAAACATAGAAAGTTTCCTCGACGACATATTGATATATACGCACACATGGGAGCAGCATGTCGTGGTTCTTCGAGATCTCTTCGAGAGGCTTTGGAAGTCGGGAATCTCGGCAAGACCAACCAAATGTGCCCTTGGATACAGAAGTCTGGAGTGTTTGGGTCATATGGTGGGAAATCAACGATTACTTCCGAACCCAGACAAGGTAAACGCCATTCTTGACGCTAAACGTCCAGAGACCAAAACTCAGATGAGGTCTTTTCTTGGACTGGCAGGATTTTACCGGAAGTTCATCGCCAACTTCGCGGCAATATCAGCTCCTCTTACTGATTTGACAAAGAAGGGTCAGCCGAACAAGTTAGTCTGGAGGGAGCCGCAGGAAATTGCGTTCAACACATTGAAAAAGGCGTTGTCTAGCGAACCAATTTTGAAACTTCCTGATCTTGAGGCTGATTTACACTCCGAACGGACGCGTCAGACTATGGTTTGGGTGCTGTATTGCTCCAGAAAGAAAATGAAATTTCATTTCCCATCGCGTACGCCAGCCGGAAACTGAACAAGCGTATGCTGTCGTAGAAAAGGAATGCCTCGCTCCCGATTGATGAGATGGACACTCCTCCTGCAGCCATTCAGATTTACAATCCGAGCTATACCGGGAAAGGATAATGTTGGTGCTGACTGTCAAAGTCGACTATGAATTATAGTCAGATATTCCAACATGAAAAGCTGTGGATCCAGTACTGAAGACCTTGCCTAGTTTAAAAAAAATGGTTTATAGAAAAACATTCTTTTTTTTCTTTTGTGGGGGCGTATGTAACAAGGCCTTCAGTTCAGAATGTAATTATGCATGTATATAAGTTTTTAAGTTACCACCATTCGTTAACTTCAAATAACGCACCTGCGTGCGTGAGCAGCCGAGATTTAACCAGAGGCGGACATATTTGACAATGGCGGGTGCATGTTTTCTTACAAGAACGCAAAAGACTGCTTGCGGTGAGTTTCTACTCATATATAAGATATTTTATGTTGTACCGTTCTTTATTGTAACCGTAACTAAGCTGCACACACTGTAAATATCAAATTGTGCCTTGTAATGCGTCCTATATGAGGCGTACAGGTGTGTTATTGTTTACGTACAGGTGTGACATTGTTTACGTTCAGGTGTGCTCCTGTTTACAACTGTTGATAAATAGTTATTTTATAATCAATTGATTATAATAAGTAATTTGGATTTAGTACATCGTAGATTATGGAATTTAGAGCATTCGTTTGTGACATTCACGTGTATATATATTTCACACCGCTGGAAGGTTTAAATATTAAGGTTGCTTGACCGGTGTTTTTGTGGAAATATTTTCAAAGTTTAATTTCAATTATTATTACATCCTTGGGTTGAAACAGTGTCTTCTTAATATTATTCATAAGGAAATGTGCTAAATTTAGGCATTTTAAATGATTTGGGTACAATTTTGTCTGTTGTTCCTAGCACATACCCGACCGTTCGGAAATTCCCCTCTCATCACTACTTTGGTGGTTATGCTCATGAACCCCACTGTTGGGAGCTGCATTATTCTTTGTGGATGTAGTTTCACTGCTATTGGTGGATCGTGGAACTGATGACGTCATTATGTGACATTGTAACTTTTCCTTTGTGGAAGTGTCTATGCTTTGGATCCTCTGTGGATGAACTGAAACTCATGAGTGTGTGGACCTGTGTGGATACATAGGTGGACTGTACCTGTGGGACTATCGAACTAAGACAGAGTCGGGAAGATCCAAACGAACTGTTGTAGATATAGTGTATAGTCTAGTGTAGATACTTGTAAAAATTGTGGTATTAAGTGCATAATGTAAATAGATATTGTACAAAGTGTATATCGGTGTTCGTCTCTTTTCTTGTTTGTATGGCAATATACTCGTCCCGTTACAGCAACCTACAGCCATTTGCGTTCCTCTGATCTTATCACTTCATTGACTCCTATATTTGATACACAGCGCAATTTCAGGTACAACCGAAAATCCGTCATCAGAATACAATTTCCACTTAGACAGGCAGCTGCCAAAACGATACACAGATCACAAGACTGTACCTTGAAAAAGGTTGTAGATATGACATCTCCAAGAATGTAACCACACATGTACTTTGTAGCCTATAGTTGTGTTAGAAATTTTTTCAGGCTTGTGTTCAAACAAAGACAAGATATCAGTAGATCAGTCAGTAACTGCTGAAAGGAAAAGGATTTGTTTTATGGAGAATGTTTTGTCTTTCGAAGAAACAAGTATTTTTCTGATGAGAGCTTGAAACAACACGGTTTCCACATTGACAGGAATGATAAAAATAACACTAAATATCCATCATGTCTAAGCAGTGTATTTTGGAAACAATCACTATATGTAAAATTTCCTCTTTTAGTTCTTTTTTTTTAATTTTTAATGCGCGGTGACGAGTGTACAAAAACATGACGCTGTCTCCACTCAGTCTATTTGCTTAAAACTGAAACAAATCGCTATTGTATATGATATAAGCTGTAAGCTGTGTCATATATTTAAATGGACGCTGTTTACTCGCATCTATGCTGATCACGTAACGTTCGACATGTCAGAATGTTATCATGCTGCAGCACTGTTCAATATGAACTTATAGCTGTGTCAAATACTGTGGATAATCAACAGTGATAAAATGTGATCGCTCATTTTTTCTGTTCAATATGAACTTACAGCTGTGTTGAACACCCTTAAGAATCAACACTAAAGAACGTGATCTTACAGCTATGAAATATGAACGTCTATTAGACACACTGAATGTTCAACAGTAAATAAATGTGATCTCTGCTGGACACTGAACAACCAAAATAACAAAATGTGATCATCCAACTGTATTGGTCACAACAAACTCTGAACAATCAACAATATTTATAAATGGGATCGTTGCTTGACACGGAACTTACAAATCGGTTACTATGAACTCACAGCTTTGCTGGAATCTGAACAATTAAAAGTATTAAAATGTGATTTTTGCCGCACACTGAACTTACAACTGTATCACTCACTGTGAACTCTGATTAGATTCCCGGAACGGACGTGAAAAGGTAAGGGGTCACCAGCCCCACCACGTGGGTTTTCTCTGGGTACTCCGGTTTCCTCCCACAATAAGATTCCTCGCGCGCTTCAGTCCGGGCCAATAAGATTGTTTTCCAATTGTTGTAAAATAAATAAAGTTTACATTATATATGTATCATGACAAAACGGAAGTCTTCCTATATATATTAGTTTATACTTGGACCGAAGTTGGGTAACATATCCCTCCTTGTCTTCAGGTGATGGGCACGGCGTTGACTGACGGGGAACGATAACACTGATACCACAGCCTTGGGGTAGTTTGTATGCAGCTTTTTGGATCTCATCACGGTCCAGCAGACTACCTATTCTTACAATGATATTGTATGTTAAGTATATATCATGTATGCGTTAATATTCACGACTACAGTAGATTCCATTCAAGTTGTTTTCGTTTTAGTATATTCAAAAACACAATATCGTGAATATACTGTCTTTTACAGTCGTTCGGTGTGATGACGAATGGCTTATTCCATGCACTGCCCTCAAACGTAAGGTTAGTATTCAGTACATCGCTCGATATGACAGCCAAACAATAGTTAGTGTATTTTGTTCGAGTTTTTCTGAAGTAAACGAGTTCGTCATAAAAATCCGACGGTTGCCTTTTCAGAGTTTCTTTTAATTTGTGTAAGAAAAACTCATACAGTAGATAATCATAGTAAGCACAACTTTTATGGAGTTTGGCAACATCTGATCCAAACTTAAATCGAGGCTCTTCCTGCATGTTAATGCGAAGTTGAGCATACAAAACGTGCCTCATATCCCAGTTTAGGATTCGTCGCATCAATACAACAGATTCGTCCAATAGTTCCAACACTAGAATGATATCCATTTCTTTGTCCAATTTTTGTAAATAGC